ATGTTAAGTGATCAAGCAGTTGCACGTCGTGAACGAACAAAAGAAAAACGTACACGTCGTGAACAACGTATTCAACATAAACGTAGTGAATTTATTGGAAAACATGATGATGGCGTGGCAGACGATACACAGCCAGGTGTACAAGCAGCAATTCAAGAATCCGTACAACAGCATCAACAACAGTCATCAACAAAGGGTGGTGAACATAAAAAATAAAAAATACATTTTTATTTAGTTATGTTTTGTTAAACTGTTGTTTTTGAAAAATAAATAAGAAGAAACATCGGTTCTTTGCGTTTTTGTTTTTAATCACACATCTTAATTTTTTTCTTTCATTCAGTTAAGATGTGAGAAAAAAATAAAATTGGATTTTATTTTTTTCCCGTTGTGATAGCAGAAAAGGACGCCTATGTACGAACGTATTTGTTAATAAAAAAAACAGTTAATGTTATTCACTTTTGAGAGAATGCATTTTAATTCTACGATTGTAATGAAACTGAACTAGTTAATTATCAAAACAGTAACAATTAGATGATAGGTTTTACTAATTTGACTAGACAAAAAGTCTCAAGAATAAATAGCGTGCATGTTGCGGTTTCGTCAGTTGTATGGTACGTTTTCAGCGATCGGTAATCGACGTTATTTCGAAACTTGTATACTATAAGAAAATCGGTCCATAATATCGCCTGCCTATACATGACAATTTCCTTCTCTTACTTATTAATAGAAGCAGTTGTAAAATAATTCATTAAGAAACAGATTCAGACAGGAAACAACAAGGAAGTTACAACAAGTTGTAACTTACAATTCGCTGAATATAAGAAAAGTTCTGCTTAATAAAACGGAAGTTTATTTCGCACCCATACTTCACACGAATCGAGGGTTAGGTTTCGTATAATATTTAATGGAAGTGTATGATTTTTCTGGAATTTAGATAAAGTCTTTAATCCAAAATTTTTTTTGAGAGCGTCAGGCGAGAATAAATCTACTCTTTAGGCCTCGCTAATGGTACAGGAACGCTCGAAAGTTTCAGATAATGTCGGAATCCGCTGTCATAGCGCTGTCCAAAACTTTCCAATTCATAATTTGCGATTCACGGGTACGACCATATTTTATTTTATTTCGT